GAGCATTGTGAATAAGTGCTTGAACTTCGAATGGGGTGGCTTTAATCTATTAAAAGACAGATGCACTTGTCTTCTGTGATTAAATGAAGAATGAAGGCTCTGATGCTCAGATATCTCGGTTTCTTTTCCATAATTTTTGCTCTCTTGCAGAAAGCTGCTTGTGAATGAGCTCCCGCTTTGTGAATGTCTCCATTTCAAGTGAGTAACTCTGAAGTAATATTTATAGCCAGGCTATATTTATACATCTTCCCAGTTCCCACCTCGTTTCTCTCCTCTGTGAACAAGTGATTTTAATGACTGTGGCGGGGTAAACGGTCAGTGCACAATGGAGACAGCACCTGAAACAGGCCTGGAGGAGGTGGAGCAGTGAGGAAGCAGCACCTGCCTGTTACAATCTGTGACGTTTGCTGGAACCTGTGAACTTATAATACTGTATTTTAACCAGTGTCTTCAACTTGTCTTATTATTATAATATTATTGTTAAGCCCCTTTCCCACAGGTCAAAACAACCACTAGTGTCTGGCTTTTGTCTGCAATGGGAATGGATACAATTGGCATTTACCACTGGGTCAAATGACTCTGCAGTAGACATGGGTTTTAATGGGGAAATGGTCTCTAGATGGCAAGACATTGAAGTGAGAGAGCACTTCAGTTTTTGTGATGTCAAACCAGACACACCAGGGACACATTACAGAGAGCCAAACTCTCTCTGGGAAATGAGTCTATTTCCTTTTTTAGTTGGTTTACCAGCATTTCACAGAAAAAAAGCATATATCCACCAATGTTGGTGTAAAAGAGGTATTATAGTCAGTTCTACCATTGTTCAGTAAAACAAATACACATATCTTGATTGTGTATATGCTCACTGCTCTGTGCACTAATAGTGTCTTAGTGAATACAGTTATCTTTAGAGATCTACAAAAAGGTATATAGGAAATGAACAAAGACACACCCGTGGAAGGAATTCTGGCTAGACCACATGTTCAACAAAGCTCTGGACGTTGCTCTGATAAAACCTAACTTGCCTCCTCAAGCACACACTCATGACAATAGGCTGGGCTTAGCACCTTTTCACTTTGTTCTTGAGACCACTAACTATGTCAAGGTGAGCCACTGTCAATGGACAGATATTTATCTATCTATTATTTCCACCATTTCAACAAGAGAAGTGAATTGTCTTAATCAAACAGTATGCAAGTAGAGAGAGCCTGACAGGATGGCTGAATAAAAATGGATCCCTGAGCCCTGAAGCAAGGCATTAACTACGCCAGCCATGTAAGCTGAAGCCTGGGTTCATATTTGAAGGGTTAATCAAAATACACCTAAGGTGGGCCTGAAAACTGAAGAATGTCAAAAAGAGTAGAACATGACAGAAAACAGACTGAACTAGAAATGTCTGAAAGCTCCTTATGTTATAGGACTTGATTGGAGGGAAAATGGCTGTCAGTGGAACAATATTGCTCAATTCTTGAGCAATAGCTACAAGCTTTCTTTTTCCAAATCAAGACCAAATCCTAGACTAAACTGAAATTGAAATGTAAAATAGGGGCTCATAACATGTCCATATTTTTGCTACCTACTAGTATCAATATCTTATTTTTATATTATATTTCCTATTATCAGACTTTTCGCCCAGTAATGGAGACGGGTGGGGAGATTGATGCATTGTGTTTTTCGGTGCTATTTTTCGATTTCTACATATGTTTATCTCCTTACTGTCCTTTTCTGTTTTTCTGTTAAAACCAATAAATATAAGTTTGAAAAGAAAAATAGGGACTCATTACACTGCATTGTAATGGGCCACTGTGAAGACAACAATTTCAAAAAAGTATGACTGTGCTTAGACATTAGGCAGTCAATTACAATCATCTATTCTCAAACTATTTGTAACATTTTTACACGATTAAAAATATACATCAGGAGGGGCTTCAAGCATATATATATATTTTCTTTTTAAACTATGCAAAATTAAATATTGTGGATGAGGATCGACTCTTCATGGGAGCACACAAAAGACAACACAAGATAAATATATGTAACCATGACTGCATCTCAGCTGGTCTGGTCTGGAACATTCTGGTTGCATAACAATAGATTCGACCTGTTGAGAACTTGGAAAGCCACAAAATGAGTCAATGCCATGAACAGGTGTACAGTCAACAGGGGTGTCAGGCAATCCTACGCAGAGAATTAGTTGCACACGTTCCTTGTCTAAAAGTGAAAGATGAACAGTGAATGATTTTTCTTTTAAAGCGATGCAAAAGGTGAAATCCATTCACATTAACTGCTAACATTTAGCACAGGGCTAAGCACACATTTATTTTTAAACACACTTTCACAGGCAGTAAATAGAGGCTTGAACATCTCCAAATCAATTCGATATGCTGTTGGCTGTGCTGCTGAAGTGTGACATCTCCCTTCACCACAACTGCTGCTCAGAACCTAAACCTCCTCCTGCCTCTCACAGGTGTGAGAATCCTGTTATTGCTTTTCTTTTCTCAAAGACAAAATGACACCTCACTCACTCACTCACCGTTTCGAACATGGCAGCTAAGCACACACAGTGCACTGCTGGTGTGTCTTATCAGTGACAGATATCAAGTAAACCTGACATTCATCCTCAATAGGATTAGGCATTGTGCAGAAATCAGAACTGAAAACACATGAAAGAGCAGCACCATGGCCACAACACATTTTCTCTCAGCTCATTTTTTGTTGTTTTTCTTCCTCTGACAAATTCAGCTCATGCGACCCTAAGTCCACCTAATCAAAACTGGCAAGTAGAAAAACAATATCAAACCTCCGTAAATATGGAAAAATGTACAATCATTGATGACTCCCAAAATGCACCCATTTATTTTGTGTTGATCATTTAAGTTTATCATCCAATCAAGTGTATGCAGGCATGTTATATCAGGCTTTGCGTAGAAAGACTATTCTTCTTAGTAGGCGAGTCATTTTTGGTTTTCGTGCCATCATGTAATTTACTCTTAGTCCAACATTTACTTTGTAGCCACTTCCATATTCCATATCCTCAAACACACATTCAAGATTATTAGTTTTGATGTATTTAGGCCAAATATGGAAACTGATGTTTAAAACAATGTTAAACATGTATGTGCCACAAGAGACAAAACATTTCATATGTGCAAAAACAAGTTTACTACACTTGCAAAGGATTCCTTGCAATAGTTAAATACTAACAAAACTAGAAAATTTACTGAACAGCAACATTAATATATAAATTACATTACAGTCTACATGGTGACGGTGTATACACCAACTTTCAATTTAGACTAAGTGTTGGACTTTAATGTATCTCTGAATATCTTCAATTCATTACAGACCTATATGCTGCTCTGAAAAGCAAACAGAAGCTGAACGCTGAACAGTCTAATTATGTCCTTTATCCTTGATACTCAGCTTGTTTGTCTTAAGAGCCACAAATTATGATTTTTAAACAGTTTTTTCATTGTCATAAAAAGTAAGTATTTTTGTGCAAATCTAAAATTCAAAGCAGCATTTCCTGTCAATTGAGCCACCACCAAAAGTATTTCAAACTACAAAAGATAACCTACTATAAAATAAACATGACAATAAGTCATGACCATATTAATGTGGCATCACAACCAAGACCTGAAATGATCAGGTGGTAGATTTGACAAGAATGGGGAGACAGTCAAATGAAATTTCAGAAGCCTTGCAACTCCAGAAACCATGGTCGTGTGTGTAGGACTGGGCATTGGCCTGCAGGTATGGGGGTGAATGTCGCTGCAGAAGATTTTGTGCTCAATAAATCATCATTACATGACTAAGGCTGCAAGATATCAAAGCCTGTTCCCAAAACAATCAACTCAGTATAAGCATCCCTAAGGGCAGCAGCTGTAGACTTGTCCCTTTTAACACTACTGTCACATATTGAAAGTTGGACTTCAACCAGTATTGGATGAGCAACAGCTACATGTCAAAAGTGAAAACTGAAAGGAAAAAGAAAACACAGTAAAAATAGCTGAAAGCTTGTTTCATTCGAACGTTTTGCACCGAGAATTACACCATTTTGCTATATTGCACCGAGAATGACAGTTATATTGATTTAAAATATACCTTGAGGTCCTGTTTGCAAAGAAACCTGTAAAACACCTTGCTGCTGGAGCACAACTGACACATCACTCAGCTGACTTTATCAGCCGATAATATCCTATCACAGATATACTGGAATCAGCACATGTCATTTGATATGCGGCAAAATTAAAACTTTTTTTACAGAACACAACATAGAGAAATTGAAATGCATTGAAACTGTCACATAGAGTGTCCTTCAAATCCAGTATTTACAAAACTTGCAGCACAAGTAGTAGAAGACGCATCACAACTGAGGAGAAACGGTGAGGAGTAAAGCAGCATATATACAGTATATATATGTCACACTTCAGGGGGAAGCCTTAGTCAAGCAATCCAATTTTACTTCTATACCCATATTCACAAATCATAATTTGTCTCACAGGGCTTCACAATGTGCAACATCCTCTGTCTTTAACCCTAAGTCTATATTAGTAAACTGTTTCAATAAAAAACAAGTCCCTACATTAGCTCAAGGCCTTGAGGTATACGGGAGTATCAAAATGACAGTTAGTCACATGGAGGCCAGGTTTCTTGAGAGCTAGTCCGTCAACACAATTATAATATTTATGCACCTACATGACTCCAGGGGACTGACAAAGATGCCAAACCTGTTGTTCCCCATGTTATCTTCCGCATACCTCTCTGGGTTTGTTAGGAGAACACCTTGATATGCAGTCCAATACAAAAGGATTAAGCTTCCCTTCTATTTGATAAAAGCCTTTTGGATTTGGATTTTCCCTTCTCATCATCATTCTCCTGAGCCATGTCTGCCCTTCCCTCTCTCCCTTCCCTCCCTGTCTATCTGGACTTCGCCCTCGCTAAGGTCATTGTAGCCCAGGGATCAATAATGAGTTCAAATGTACTGGCAAAGTGCTTACCTTGGATCCTCACTGCCATTCAATCCAGCCTGGGACTCGCATCTGCTTCTAAAGAGTCAAGTTTCACATGGCCATGATGCTCAGGAGGCTTCTGAGAAACACATCATCAGATAGAGAGAGAGAGAGAGAGAGAGAGAGTAATCACTAAGGATGCAAATGTACTTAAACATGATTAACATGATGATACTTTAACATGATGATACTTTAACATGATGAATACTGATTCTGATGTGGACCAACAGTATAAAGGGAGTGTACTTTCTCCTTGGCGATGAAGTAGCCACAATGGCAGTGTTTGCGTTTAGTGGTTGTATAGACCAAACAATTAAAAGTGATTTCAGCAGCAGCTTAGATGGATGTTGTTAAATCGGCTAATGGGCATGCTAGCAGTCTGAACCGATACTTGTCAAGTTTAATGGAAACAGCGACCAGTGAAACCAGCCTGTCTTGTGATGCCAGTGAGATAACAAGCTAACGACGTTAACGCGGACACTTTTTTTTTAGCATGTATCATCCTAAATATGACTACGTATTAACACACACACACAATTTAAACATTAGAAAAACTCGCTTGCTACGAATTGAATCGCAAATGTAGTTTTTAAAAAGTCTGAGCTGGACGAGGTGACTCCACCGAACTGCCTCAGGGAGAAACACAGGGATAGCTTACCGTGCCAGCAGGACTTCACTTCCAGTCTGGACCCGACGAGCGGACACTGAACTTCCGAAGCGACTTGACGTTATTTTCCCTCGACACGTTAACGTCTGCGATCACTTCCACGTTCCGACCCGCTCCCGAGGGCTCGTGTGCGCGCCCAGCCTGTTGACAAGGACTGGAGCCAGTTCCTTAAAGACACAAGGCTGGAGGCTGCCCAGGCCTGAGCAATCAACACAGAGGCTGCGCGGGCCTGCAAGTCTATGCAGGCCATCGATTTTTCCGCACGGCTGCTGACCATGCCTAGAGCAGATGAGGCAGATGTGGAGAGGGTAAACAGTGTAACATGTAAATAAGTGAACGTAGCGTCGCACAGCACGTTTTTCTTTATCTATTCAGGAAACCTCTACAGTACAGAGGGTTGGGTCGGGTTCATGCAAAGCAGCTCAAATGTAAAACCCCCTTTCAAAGAACAAACTTTCCTTGTAAACAAAAAATACATCCAAACATATTAAATTAAATCATATTAAATTAAATCGTATAATGTGCAGGTTCATTGGTGTGATGCATATTCACAAATTCACTAATATAAGTAATGAGCCCTTTTTCAATTAAGCTTGCGTTGCAAACAAGAAATATTTACTAACATTAAATTAAATTGGTATTTTGTTCTATTCATTCATGTAGACACACACACACACACACACACACACATATACCTATACATTATTTTTTCCCTTTTCTTTCTCTGTTTTCCTTTTTTTAAATTGATGAAATCATCAATATCAATATCATTAAATTAAATGACATTAAATCTTATAATGTGTAGGTTAATTGGTGTGGTGTGTATTCACAAATTTAAAGCAGCTCAAATCTAATACAGGTAATGAGCCCTTTTACATGAATAAAAATGAAATATAATAAAATGTATTCTGATCTTCTTAGACATGAAGGTAATTGATGTGATGTGTAGTTCATCTGTGTAATATATGTAGCTTGATATGATATATTTGGTTAAAAAACAATTCATTCTTGTTCATCTCTGTTGTAGGAAAATATTTATTATGCTTTATATGCTAAATCCAATCTTGTTATTTAAATAAGTCTGTTTATGTAAGTGTTGCCACCTTGTGTTAATGATAAGAAACTGTGAGTGAAGCTAATGTAAACCTTTTTCGTAATCCTTGTATGATCTGATCCATAATGACAAATATTTCTGATCAATAATTGAACTTTTAACTTCAATTTTATTTATTTTTGTAGACATTACATTCTTTGTCATATGCTCACAATTTTTTAATTCATCTTTATCATTGACGATCGCTGTTCAGCTACCACATAAGTTCATACACCTCATAATTTCAGCCATAAATGAGGCAGTGTGCTTATGAGTCAGTGCATCTGTTTAGTGGTTGTCGTCCTTGTGAGTCAAAGTTAACTCATCTATAAATGTCATACAGTTCTTTCACGTCAGTAAAACCACAATACATTGTGATCACGGTGATCAGGTACAGAAATCAATTTATGAGAGATAATTTACAAACAATGTTTAAGAGCAAAATCATTGATTCAAATTTGACTTTATATACTTGCAAACACATGATTGCCTCACAAAAAAAATTACATAATCTACTTCACATCCAGTACATTTAATGTGATGAGTAAATTCAAGCATGACCCCTATCACACAGTAGTTTAATGGAGAAGGCAGTGTCCAAGGTGTAGGCTAAAAGTGTAACACTGGTGACAAATGTTTGTAATATAAACAGCTGGCTGCCTTTGTTGGGAATGCTTTTTCCAGGTTCCCTCAGCTGCAGGATCTCAGTAAAGCAAATTGCTGTGGAAACCATGTAGAGCAACACCCCAGTCAAACTGAAACCAGTCATACATTTGTCAAAAGGCAGGAGACATCGCCCAGTACAATCACCTAATATTACAATCAATGTGACAGCACAGGTAAGTGTACACACAGCATATGTTATGATGGTAACCCATAGCTCCCACGGGAACTGTGGTACCAGAGTAGGGGGCATACTTAACACCCAATGAACCAGGGGACTCATCTGACAGCCTCCCCACAGCTGGAATATCTTGAGGATACCAGGCATGCTACCCATGTAGCCTCTTTGTTCTTTGGCTTGGGTGCAAAGAATGTAGGACTCTGAAAAGTAGGCCAGGAAGGTGAGAGAGGAACACACCACAGCTGCCACAGAGAGGGGTGACACCATTTTGTAATCCACAATGATACTTGATAAAAAAATACAGGCGCCGAGGGACATCAGTGCGCCTAACACAGCCACAGTCACAATCAGGTTCTTCCAGGAAACTGGGATGAGTCTGTGAAACTGGAGGGCGCTGACGATGTGAATGAGGAGAGTGAGGATGAAGAAAAAGCACCAGGTAAACATGCAGAAGGTGTTGAATGGAATGAATTCTTTGCCTTGAGATGTATTTTTGTTTAATTCATTATATTCCAGCGAGGACACGAGACTGAAGGTGGCACAGCTGGATAAGACTTCCCATGTCCGTACCAAAAAAAGGGGACTGGTTAAGTCTTTGGTGTCCGGCATGATCAGCGGCATCGTAACAGAGTTGAACCTGCAGAACCTAAGAGGTGAGGATTTGTCGAATAATATCTGTCTCAACTCTGATGGATGTTTTTTGATTCTTGTGGTTTAAAAAGTTCTGAAGAATAGTCCAGTAGAGTCCACGGAAACAACCAGCTCAGACAAATCTTCAAAAGAAAAAAACCCTTTCTTCTCTATTCTGTTCACCAGTGCTCCATCCTTTTCCGCCAGCAAAGTACAACTTTAACATAAACTCTTCACATATATATTATGGAGCACTGCTGCTGTCAAAACATGCCTCGCCTACTTCCTGTTTGAGGTTGCAGTGCTTTCAGTCTCACTGGAGGTAGGTGCAAATTACCACATTAAAAAACAAATGCAAACAAAGCTATCTTCCTCTCACTCCTGATTCTCATGAAATGTTGTTCCTTTTTCTCTGAGGTAATAAACTGCAACAACTTCTGCTAACTCTGAATCCTAAGGGATCCTAATGGAAGAAGAGTTGGTGCCACCCCATACAGTACAGGCCTCCTCTTGATTGACTTGACGTCACTGCTGAGGGCATAAAATATATAAAATATTGTTAGTTCTTTACAAGGTGCATCCGTGTAGGATATGATAAGTGGATTTGTTGCGTGCTGTAAATTAAGTGAGTGAAGTGTTGCTAAGAATATCTATTAGTGGGTACAGATCTACTCTTATCTGACAGGGACTAAAATCTTATGAAGAAGCATCTTGTTTCTGCTTTCTACTGATAATTTGAGATTCTTGAATGGGAAATAAGTGTTTGTATGTTGGTTCTAGTGGCAAGCTTTATTTTGGTCAGTGTAGGCGTGTGACCACTTTTGTCTCCTATGCATATGGTGGTGCATGTACACGTCTACACTATTTCCAATTAAAAAGAAATGTGTATATGTTTGTGTGCTTGCATGTTTTCATGTGCTAGATGCGAGTATGTTCGGTAAGTGTGTGCATGTGTGTTTACACAAGCACAAAAAGTCTTCTAAGGATCCCAGCCAATCACTTTGCTGCTGTCTATCAGCACACCTGCTCTCTGCGTTATAAATAGACGGTGGATGCATCAATTCCCTCGTGTCGCACAGCTCAACTTCAAAAACGTGTGTTTTGACAGAAGGGAGAAGACACACTCCACAAAGACAGATGAGAGCTGATAAACAGAGGTTGTCTGTCGTAGCAGGCTCATGGCTGTGAGGTGTGTGTCAGGGGTTAGTGTTAATCTGCATTTAAAGTCTAATCTGATCTTTTCTGGAGTTCAGCTAGCTGTTTATTACTAAACAGGTTTCTTCTACGTAATAGTGAAATAAATTGAGATCCATTAAATTTATTCATTTAGACAAAATTTTATATTTCTGTACATAAAGTGAAATTAATTAAAACTGCATTGCTGGAACAGTTATCCTTGTTCATAGCACAATGGCATTGATCAGATTTTAACCTTTAGTGAACAAATTCATATTCAACCCCATTAGTCATTTTTTTTCCAAAATAATGAAACCAGACCAAACGGTAACAATAATCTTATATTGTAAATATTTGATACACAAGACGGTGCTGACTGATGATACTGACCTAAAAGATTTGCTTAAATTAAAGCATTTATTTTGTGCTTTTGAGAATGGCTAATTTTTTACAGCTCACTTTTCTGTATGAAACCACTGCCCCTCTGTGGAAAAAATTATAAACTGCTACTTTTCAGAGTAGCCACAGTATTGAAGTTGGTTGTTTGTAATACAGGATGAGCAGCAGCAGGAGGTGAATTTATAACATCATATAAGTTGTGTTGTGAACAAACTCCAGCTGGAGGTAATCACATCTATAATATCTTTGACTCCTTATTTGCATACATACATACATGTCCCCTTGTACTGACAGAAACCTGGTTTTCTTTTGTGTAATATCTTGTGTAAAATTAAAAAGATTTTTAGTCATTCCATTTGTACTGTTTTTTATAGGTGAAAATCACAATATGTCTGGAGGTAGTCTCTGATATGGGTGTAGTACATGGTAGTACTAAGTAGCAGTAGTCCTGTTTGTACAATTGCAACCCACTGGAACACAAAATGTTG